CATATCTCATCCACAGCATTATTTTTAGATTCGGAACTTGAATTACTCGAACTAGAAATGTTTGCAATATCTCCCTTCAAATAGTAAAATCGTTAGGGATGACACAATTGTATAAATAATTAATTACTGGTAATTTTTGTTTTGTTTGAAATCACCTACTTACTATTTATTTGAAACTTCTATTAAACAAAATTCATCATGGACATGACTTTAAGATTAGTATTATGAATAGCCTAATCGAATTTCGGGGAAAAATATTGGAATTGTGGTACACGTAAAACAATCTGAGGTCTGAGCGTCTGAAAACCCTAAAAGTCTTGTTTTTTTTGACATTTTTTTCTACGTCGAAATTTGGCTAGAGTATAGTTACATAATGTATTGTACTGAACATCTTAATGGCTGTTTATCTTTTTTTTTTTTTTGGACGCGTCAGTTGACGTGTCCTGACTCCTGACGTGTCCCAAAAAACTTCTGAGTATGATCACAACACTTTTTGTTGAGTCACCAGTAACATAACAATGACTATAATAATATCACTCTACCATTGAAATACGTTATAGAATATAAACGATTTAAAATATTTATTGATTTGAATAAACTAACAGTAAATTAAATACACACATATGAGATTATGCAATACAAATGAAATAATGTTAAAGCATTGCCTTACATAAATTATTAATATTAAAGATTGCCAAAACGCTTTTTTTATACTTTGAAACAATTTGCTTATGAGTCATCTGAATAATCAAAATGTAATACGTGAGTCACTAATGCCAGGAAGATATTGTACTAAATTTACGTTACCATGAAAATACACCCATTTATAGTGTTACGAACAACACCGAATCGCAGAATTATCCTGATTAATCCCGAGCCATTTTCCATTGAACTCCGACAGTGACCAATTTTGTTTTTTTTAGTTTATTTGAATTTCTCAATAGGTTAAAAGTGTCAGAGCCGCAAATAGAATTATCCGATAACAACCACGGGATGACACAGTACGTGGAAAAAAATATTGCGATCGCAGCACGTGATTCACCTCTGGGTTCTGAATCATTACAATTAAAACGTGAGCACAGGGTATAAAAGCAGTAACGGAAGCTATTCCTCATAGAAGTACTGCTTTTAATCATTGTTTCTCTCCACTTAGTCATAACTAAAGTATTACCATCCATCAATGATTGTCTAATAGGCAATTCAGTATTTATATAATCATATAATCGCGGGTATGGTGCAGCTAATAAAAGTCAACCTGAATCACAAATTCATGGGCTTTAACCGGGGAATGACGCATGTAAAAGGAAATGGAACTTAGCATCTCGCGATCAAAATAAATTTCAAATTAATGTCGCATTCGCGTGACTTAATGCGAGCGAATTTTTATTCAAGTTCCTAAGAACTAATAAGCTATTTAGAAAACACATTTACTTATCTCGTGCGTTTGCTTTGAACAAGAAACGTACTTTAATATTTTACCAATTCCCCTTTCGCCAGCTAGAACGTGGACTTGACAGCTAGAACGTGGACTTGACAGCCGTGACAAGTTTGGATAAATCCGACCTTCTTAAATTATGAATTTTATAAAACATTAACTATACCTACAAACGCCTTGTAATAAGGGCAAAAATTTGTACCTGTACCCACTAAACTATTAATACAGTAGACGTGCTCAGAGGGCGGGACACGCGTGCCAACAGTATGTGGAGTTCCACATACTTCAATTCAATTATTTCACGTAATACCTCCAAAATCGTGGAGCAATGCCTTTGGAGTGCAAAGATGATAGTCGCACCTGTAATATTATGAATAGTTTTATGTTTCATAACATTTTTAAGTCCTATTTTATTTTAATATATTTTCCATTTTCTGTTTATCATAATGGATTTGTTATTACAAGAAATGAAAGTAAACTTTATACCGCAGTGTTATATAGTCGACTTTTTATTTGACATGATTTCATAGTTAACATAATATGATCGTGTGAGTGTTGGCGACAGCGGTTCTGACAGTAATCGAGCCTTGAATGCACTTACTTACATTGTTTTTTATTCCTCCGTGCTTGTAGCTGACATGCCTTTTACGTACTTCCATGGCCCAACAGTGTGCAATTTGTGTGAAATCTGGACGAGAAGGTCCTGGAATTTCTCGATAGGATATTTAAAAAAATTAACTTTTCTAAATTGGTTCTGGTCTGGGTGTCCTGGGTAGCGCCCTGACTGAATACTGTTGCCCTTGTACCCATTACAGGGATTCCCTAGTTTGAGACAAGGTAATTGTTTGTGGTTGTCTGGCAAGTTATTACTATTCTGGCATAAGACATTTATTTCTCAAAACAGAATATAAATATTCGCTTACAATGAGAAATACTAGATAAATATATAAAAGCTTACAAAAATGATCTAATTTAGTAACACTTCCAGGTATAAATAAATCAAAACATTATGTGTGGATTTTTTACATGTATTGTACATAATATGTTTACTTATTACCTCAGATCTGCCTGCTATAGGCATATTGAATTTGGCTGTATGATTAATAAAATTTGAATTTACCTTGGTTTTTTTTTCGACTTAAGTAACAACGTTAAAAAGTTAAATACAGTTTAAAGTAAGAAATGCGACGTAACCTAGGTAAGATTAATAGCTACGTAAATTCCGAGAATTTACATAAGCCGCCGGTAGCAGTAGCCACAACAAATCCAAGTAAGTCACGATGAAGCTAAACATAACTTGTTGTGTATTTGGGTGAAGGTGGTCTGATGGGAAACAGGAACAGCAATAATTGCTTACATTACAATTGGCCGATGTACTCGGTAATCGGCCGAATTACCACTTCCTGACATTGTCTGATCACGTTACGCACGACTGCTGTTCCAATAGTGCAAAGACTTGTGTGCAGTCGAGACTCTTAAGAGATCATAGACCAATTAATAAGCTGAAAGCACAAATTGTAGTTTTAGGAAAACAGCTGCCGGTCACACTTAATTTTCCTTCTAACTTAATAATAATAATCCTCTCACGGGAAAGCTTAATTTTAGAAGGAGTTATGCTGAAGATAAACAAAATGAGAGGTCGTTATCTGCCTCTTTACTTCGCATCTTGTGATAAGCTTCGTCGTACGTAACCCGACTTTTAATTATTCACCTTTCTTTGTTCAGAAGTTAAGAAAATGGACTAAAAACTTGAATGTAAAGCTAAAAAAAAATATTCAGAGATATCGCCATAAACCTGTCACACAATAAACAAAGACACCTAATTATGCTTTATGTCACAAATAAAGCTCAATTTACATTACTGCGGAACGGAAGGGAAGCGTTTTTTGCAACGAAATTGTATATAGCATAATTAATTTCAATTTTTTTTGTCAATTGTGTAGCGTACGTCCAAACTAGATACAATACGGTAGCTGCGAGGATTCCCCATCTTCGATTCCAATTCTTGCCTCGTATCTAGTTTGTAAATTACACAATTGACATAAAGTTCATTATGACCACAAAAATTCGCTTCCATTCCATTCCGCAGCACTGTGAATTGAGTCAAAGAGTGATAAGTTCACGGCGAGTTTTAGCAGCGATGCAAATGCGCGTTTCTGAAACGCGCGTTTGCATCGCTACACTTGCGATTTATAAGCGATTGCATCGATATAAACGCGCGAATGTAATCGCCTATAAATCCCAAGAGCAGCGATGGAATCGCGCGTTTGTATCGATGCAGTCACGCACTTGCATCGCTACTTAAATAGCGAGCGTGTGTAAAGGTAGACGATTAGCAACTGCATCGCGTTTGCACTGTTGCCAAAGTCACCGTGTGTAACCGCTCTAATAGTAATTTACATTAAATGCATCATTGAAGGAAAACAAAAAAGCGTTCAGTATTTTCTATAAACAAATTAGATCCTATTTTTATATTAACTAACCCCATACTAAACTCAATAGCATTCAGAGAATATAATCCACAAACTAATATCGGTCGTGGTGAATCAGTTTTCCATGTAATAATCAAGTTCAAAATTACACAAGCTCCTAATTAAGTAAGTAAATGAAACTGTTTTTTAAGGATCTAAAATCGCGACTATTGCTTTTTTACCAACTACACAAAAAGGAGGAGTTTCTCAATTCGACTTTTTTTTATGTATGTTACACGGTAACTCCAGCTTATTAAAAAATTTGTGAACCGTTTGCGATTTGGATTGCGAACAATTTTGATGATTCTTTTTTGTTGGAAAGTGGGGCCTCAGAAGTGGTCCCATTTAAATTTGAAGAAAAAATTCCACCTCTAAGGGTGACAAACTAGGTGATGAATGACTTTTGAGGTCTATTTTTTAGTACTCTGTACTAAAATTATTTCTAAACATACCAACGTTTCAGGCTCTTTACAGGTCTCAACGTCACAACTGACTGACATAAATAAAAATAAGTAAAGCGACATTTATTTCTCCACAAAACATAAGAAACACAATACTTAAAAAACTATTGAGTGATGTGGACAAAATCGTTAGGACTCAACATTGCTGATTTTCAATCTTCACCTGTGGCTAGATGTTCGCTTGCTGCACTAAGCTAATATACACAGCTACATAAACACAAGTGACCACGGGACCTGTATAGAGTCCAAAACGTTGGTTTGTTTGGAAAGACAATTGTACGCAATTTTATACAGTTTTATTTTCAATTCTCGATCAAATTTCATGCAAAATTTTCCAAAAGTAAAAACATTTTTTATAGATGGGGAATAATCATGCCCAGGGCAATAATAAATTTTTTACATTTCATAATGTATCAATGACATACACCATTGTATTGCGGCCCGACTAATCCGTATATAAAAAGTAATACGCATATACCTTTATTCTTATTTGAACGAAGGCGTAGTCTAGTATGAGATTAACTCTTAAAATTATTTCAACTATTATAACATTGGTTATAGTACAGTAAATACAACTAACAAAGGGACATACTATCTGATGATATTTCATGCGAAGCTGTCACTTTGTTGCAGGTGGTACCCCGACTGCTGGGCTCACTTGTGGGCGGATCAATGACACCGACGCAGCACTTGGAGCAGCAGCAGGCCCTCGTCAAACAGTTTGCTGAAATACTCGAGTTTGTACTCAAGTTTGATGAATATAAGGTAAGATTTTATTTACAGTTCCTATGTCACATTCTTTCGCGCCCCTTTATAACTAACTAACCCATGATGGGATGATGAGAGATATAGGGCGGAAATTCACCAAATTTGATAATATGCTTTTAGAGTATGTACTGGTAATAGAAAATAGTTTAACGTTATTTTGATTTCCATTTTAACTATGTCTCTACATAGATGCAAAACTATTTCCCCTTTTATAATAATATTTGCTGCTTATTAATATACTAAGCAGTTAAAAAATAAACTAAATAAAGATTATTAGCTACTCTGTATACTTCCAAATAGATTGAGTGCGTTCGTTCTGCACCAAGTGCAAAAGGTAACTGACAGAAATCTGACGACAGCGTTCAGCTGCCGAACACGAATTTTGCCAAGACATATAAAAAAAATGTATTGTAAGCTCTTAATTAGAGATGCGCCGAGTACAAGTTTTACCGAGTAACCGAGTACCGAATATTACTCGGTTTAATATTTGCCGAGCCGAGTACTCGACCGAGTTACTCGGTTCATTACAACCGGAACGCGATGATTTAAAAGTCCCATTGCTGTAGAATTAGACCTAGTTAATTAATTAACATTAGTTAATGAAAGTTTATTGTGGCGAGAGCAGAGTCCTTTCCAATGGTGGGCAGGGCATAAAATAAAACAAGATATCCAAAACTGGTACAGTTAGCACGAGTGTTTTTATGTGCACCTGCAAGCACTGTGTATAGCGAGCGGTTATTTTCCGAAGCGGGTAATATGTATGAAGAAAAAATGAACAAACTATTACCTGAACGCGCAGAAAGTCTTGTGTTCCTACATCATAAGTTGCCTTTGTTAAATGTCAAATATTAATAATGTATACTTTCTTTTTAAATTACTAAATTATTACACTTGTCTACAATTTCTGGTAATAAATCTCTTTTGATTATTTTAAATATATTGTTGGTTTTACTTTACTGTATCTATAACTGTAATGCTTTATTTTAACCGAGTACTCTTCTCATGAACTCATGTTATTCGGTACAATAAAATGGTGCGATGCAAAACAATGACCGTTCAATACTTAATGCGCCTTCCAATTAGTGTGAAGCGCTGCAGTAGTGCGACTGTGGCGCGGCAGTAGCGCATCAGTAATTTTTAATTCACTAATAGTCACTGCAACAGTGGCGCGCGGGTGACACGACAATAGCAGGGTTTACACAGACACATCACACGGGATACAGCAATCGTGCGCGATTGAGCGCGCGTGTAAATTCGTTGAAAGGAAAAGGGAATGACCGCCCGATTTGCGCTCATCAGTCGCGCACTTCAACACGCGCCAGTTTAACGCAGTCTATCCTGCGCTATTAGCCTTTACACAGACGCTCCTTCCGTTATAAGAAAGACGATCAATCGCGCGCGAAAGAACGTTAGCTTAAAAAACATTGTAACAGGTAATCGCGCACGACTACGCGTGCGGCATTCCCGCGCTCAATCCTGTACGTTCCTGATCACGCGCGATAAAATGACTGTGTAAAGGGGGCTAATTTCGCAGCAACTGCGCTTATAAATATTGTATGCGTCGACAGCACCTCTGTAGCTCTGCTACAAGAATCTAATTTGAAGGCGCCCTTACTGATAAGTTGGAGAATAAAATAAATTCCTTGAATAAAATGGAATAGTTCAAATTTGTTTGGACTTCGAATAATTCAACAATCACAAAGTACCATTATGTTTAATACCAACGTGTTAACCTAACAAACAATAACAACTAACAACAGATCTCGTCTGCCTGTATGAAAACCAGCTGTAGTAGAAAGCTAACTTGACTTTTTAAAAGCATCCATTAACGCTGTCCTTCGAGAGTACTTTCAGGAAGTTGATAAAATGAGTTCGCGAGATAGTTAAGTACGTTGTAGTGTTTTATTGCTCTGTTTTATATGATAAGGTCCACTCCGTTTAGGAAATGAAACTATTTTTCCGGATTTAAATCGGGTGTATTTGTTTTTTCAAACAAACCGACGTTTCGGGCCCTTTACAGGTCTCATGGTCACGGTTGACTCCACTCCGTTTATTAAGTTAGTTTTCACATTTTGAAGCAGTCAAGAGCACGTCAAGATTGGACCATTACAAGGTCACATTAATTGACAAGTCCCATGTGCTCGCAATTTCACCGTGCCAGACGCTATGCCAACAAAGCCACGGAACGAGCTTTAGAAGTAGCGAAGTAGCGAACCTTAGGAATTTTTGTATGTGCTTGTTGCAAATCTGGTTTTTAACGACTTCTTTACCGTAGCGCCATCTGTGAGACATCTATTTCTTCACTCAGCTTATTTGATCTTAGCTCACACACTCACACTTCACTGAAATGATTTGATTTGACGAAATCTATCTTCGCCTATCAAACTTAAATCGTTCATCTTGTTAGTCGGGACCCAGAGTAATATAATAATGAAAATTCATTTACCTCAAACAGTTTCCTTCATTAACAAAGTACCGCTGAATCTATTGTTCCACGTTTCTTTAGAAACAAGAGCTGGATGATACCCGACTGGATCATTGTTTCTCGAAGTTCTCGCTATAATCTCGCTATAAAACGAGAATTCAAGCCATTCGTTTCCGGATTATGGTTCAGCACCTACAGTATTACACTACCAAGTCCATTTAAAAGTCGACTCTTGGAAAATCTCTAATAAACCTTAGTAAAATAAGACTTTTAGTTATTTTATTAAGGTTTTTTCGAGAAATATGAATTGATTCGAATAATAACTACTTAATACTGCCGTCCGTTAACTAAAACTCGGCTATGTGACAAAATCATTTTTTAAGATATAAAAACATAACCCTGTTTTTTTAGTGTATGTTACGTGATTACTCCGACATTTGTGAACGGATTTCGATGATTCTTTGTTTTTTATTGAAGTACCCCCTTCAATAGTGGTCCCATTGAAATTTGAAGAAAATATTTCACCTCTAAGGATGGCAAATTAGGGGATGAATCCGATTTAATGGATTGGATTATTGGACACTTTCTGTTAACAGATTTCAATAATAATTTGCAAATAGATGTAATTCCACATTTTATAATTATAGATTCATAATTATTACACAATTGTAGAATATTGTAATTGTTTAATGGTATTGTATGCACCATTAGTGTATTTTTCGATATGTCGGACAGGTTAGCTAACTTTCTTCTTTCAAAAAGAGAATTTTGAGCTGTATTTTTTACTATTCAAACCGGATAGTTGATAACTGGTTACTTAGGCGGTTTTTACGAGTAGTTAGTGGACGACAGAGTAGATCATCCACAGTCTCATACCCAGTTATATAAAACCTATGAAACTTAAATACGTAATTGTTAGCTACAATTGTGTAATAGGTATATAAATTCATCGCGTAGCAAACAATACCGCTCAAGTAAATTCTAGTAATTTTAAGGAAAAGCGAAAATACTGCACAATATATTATGCACACAAGAATTTTTGAGCCATTGTTAGTAATAGCTGCTATATTTATGGATAACAAGCAATTATGTGTGTGTGTTGGTTATATTTTTATTAATATTCATGAAATAAAACAACATTTACGGACATATTTTGATTAACGACAAATATTTATAACTCGTTTATTATTTTAAAAAAATCCGACCTCAAAAGGTAGTTCCGCCTTCGCTATGTTCGTCACTGTGGTCTCCTCAACGATGACTGAAACGCATAATATGGAAGTCCTCGTCAAAACGAATAATATGAGCCCAAACACAAAGTAGCTGTTTAGTACACACTACTCAACAAAATTTAAATAGCAAACGCCATTTCTATCATCACATCAGCTCTAAGTCATTATAACATTTTGCTTTCATTGGAATGTGCCAAGTTTTATTTTAATTTTACCTGTTTCTGTGGGTGTAAAGCGACAAAGAAATAGAGCCAGTAGGGCTACCACGATAGGGCGCGACTAGCGCCAGAGTGACATAAAACGCGAGAAACTGCTGTTCTCAAATAGAGATCTCGCGCTTTATGTCTCTCTTGCACAAGTCGCGCCTTATCGTGTTAGCCCTACAGGAGATGGGAAGGAGGTTTTCTCTCTTTATTACGATTACCGACACACGCCACGAACGATTTAATAAATAGCATGTTCCTCTTTTCCGGAGACTCGTCTTTGACGAGCTGTGTGTTACAAGATAATTTAAGAACCTTGACTCCAGAACTTCAATCGATGACACTAACTATAACCTCTAGCATGACAATTTTAAATGAAAATATTTAAAACTTCCTCTCGCTCATAAATAACCCCAATGCAGTTCGATATGGTCCCTAGTGACGTCAAAAATGTTGTATTTCCCCTGTCAGCATCCGACCGTTGTTTATATTGAATGATTGATTCACACGGCTATGATTACAAACAGACGCAGTGACGCGCACACGCTTGCATTTACCAATTGGAAATTGAAATTACTATGCACGTAACAGCACTTACCATGTTGACACAACAACACATGTCTTCACATGTCACTAAGAACACACGAGTATCAAAACCAAGAGATAGGCAACAGGATCTTTCTCGTAGCTATATTAATTGACTACGATCTCCAACCTGCCTTCATAATTACGGTTGTATACCGGTAGACCATTCTTTGGACAAAGCAATGTCTAACATTAGTCCATAATGGTATAGGTACAAGATCCTTTATTCCGTCTAGTTGACTTAAGCAAGCATGTAACCAATATTTCATAAACATTTTTATTGCCACACAAGACATCGCGACAGAGAGTTGCCTGCCCGCACTGTGGCTTTTAAAAGCTTGAAAAATTGTTTAAATTTAACAGTAGTTTGTACAGGGTCAAGAGCACGCCAAGCTTAACAGTTAAGACTTAATCCAACTGTATGCCGCTTACGATAAGAACGGTCCAAAGTACAAAATGTCAAGCTTGATATGCTCTTTTACTACTTATGCACTTTTACTTTTAAATTTTAAATAGTCATGTAGTTGTTGTCGACAGTTTTATCGATGGATT